ATGGCGCACACTTGCTGCATAGATGCATTCTCTCAATATCTAGGCTCAGATTTACCGCTCACAGCTTATCTGAGTGAGGTGAGGTCAAGATGTAGAACTACGACCTGGACCCTCAAAGGGTTAATCCCATCCCTCTCCCCAATACCCTAGCATTTACTTCTTTTACAGCTCCATCTATAAATATGTTAAACAACCATAGTGACATTACACACCCCTGTCTAAGGCATACTTTACTGGAAAGTAATCTTCCTCTCTCCTACACACCCTAACATGAGCCTCACTATCCTCATAACTCCTTACAGCATTTAGTAACTTACTACCTATTTCATACACTTGCAACATCTACCACATTGCTCCCTTATCTGTTCTGTCATGTGCAATGAAAACTTCCCTACCTCTATCTCAGTATTGTTCACATACGTATGTACAGTGGACCCCCGGCATACGATGGCATCGGTATACGTTAAATCCGTTATACGATACATTTTAACACAAAAATTTTGCCTCGCCACTCGTTAAAAAACCCGCCACACGTGATTCGTCCGGGACGCGTCCACGTGTGGCCTGAACTGCCCCGTGCGGGCCAGTGTTTACAAGCCAGTCAGTGTGCTTGCATCTAAGCATACATTCGGTACATTCCTTATTATCACAGTGTTTTTGGTGCTTGTTTCTGCAAAATAAGTCACCATGGGCCCCAAGAAAGCTTTTAGTGCCAACCCTGTGGTAAAAAGGGTGAGAATTAGTATGTAAATTACAAAAGATTTTGAAGGGTTTGGGGCTAACCCTGAGAAGCCTATGCCAGTTGTGGAATCCATTGTGCCTACTTCAAAAATTAAGGAAATGTGTGCAAAGTAGGTTGAACTGCAAACCTTTATGGATGGAAATCACCCTAACACAGCTATTGTAAGCCATGCTGGTGACTATTACAATGACAATGTTGTGGCCCATTTTTAGACAAATCTTAAAGGAACGGGAGGTACAGACCTCTATGGACAGATTTTGTTGTGCGACAGAGGTCCAGCGACTCTCAAGCTGGTCCTAGTGGCATTAAAAGAAGGGAAGTAACCCCGGAAAAGGACTTGCTACCTCAAGTCCTAATGGAAAGGGATTCCTCTTCTAAACATTAACAACTTCGACACTCCCCTCCTCCCATCCCATCAATCATCACCAGATCTTCATTAACCCTTAAATGGTCCAAACGTATATATACGTTTTTTCAACATCTGAAAGTATGTAAAAAAATTAAGATCTTCTTTTTTTGTTTTACATTTGAAAACGTGTAAAAAAAACTTTTATCTACATTTTTTTTGTTATATTTGAAAATATGTAAAAAAAAAAAGTAGATCTACTTTTGTAGCACTACGAATTTGAACGTCGATCTGTTTGGACTGTTTAACCCTTTCAGGGTCCAAGGCCAAAATCTGAAGTGATGCCCCAGTGTCCAAGAATTTAAAAAAAAAAAAAATTTGTTATTTTTTCTTATGAAATGGTAGAGAATCTTTTTGTGAATGTAATAAAACAAAAAGTACGAAATTTGATGGAAAACTGACGAAATTATGCTCTCGTGAATTTTGATGTGTCAGCGATATTTATGAATCGGCGATTTTGCCGACTTTGACTCCCATTTTAGGCCAATTACATTATTCCAGTCGACCAAATTCTAAGCTATTTCACTGGTATTACTTCTATTCTATCGATTGAGCACAAGAAATCACCAAGTCAACTGTTTCAACTACAAAATAAAGTGACTGGAAATTGGTAATTTGGCCAATTTAACACAAAGTTCAAAATATTCCAATTTCAAAATAGGGTCCAGAATAAATAATGTAGGTATACCTGGCACTAAACTAACATTAACTCTGTTCATTAGTTACGTTTTGAGGCTTTACAAATAAATTCCGTTTTAAACCATACCCCCGGCCGGGATTGAACCCGCAGTCATAGTCTCAAAACTCCAGCCCGTCGCGTTAGCCACTAGACCAGCTAGCCACAATAAGATTCATCCAACTAGGTATATTTCTACACCATAGGAAAGTTAGCACAGGCACCTCTGTGACCACAAATGCAAGTTTTTACAGACGAATCTCCAGCTAGCGTGGCCGTGACGAACTCTAGCTCAAGTCCCTTCACTGCCGTCAACATGACTTAAGAAATCGTAATGACATGATTGCAAATAAACCATACCCCCGGCCGGGATTGAACCCGCGGTCATAGAGTCTCAAAACTCCAGCCCGTCGCGTTAGCCACTAGACCAGCTAGCCACAATAAGATTCATCCAACTAGGTATATTTCTACACCATAGGAAAGTTAGCACAGGCACCTCTGTGACCACAAATGCAAGTTTTTACAGACGAATCTCCAGCTAGCGTGGCCGTGACGAACTCTAGCTCAAGTCCCTTCACTGCCGTCACTTGCATTTGTGGTCACAGAGGTGCCTGTGCTAACTTTCCTATGGTGTAGAAATATACCTAGTTGGATGAATCTTATTGTGGCTAGCTGGTCTAGTGGCTAACGCGACGGGCTGGAGTTTTGAGACTCTATGACCGCGGGTTCAATCCCGGCCGGGGGTATGGTTTATTTGCAATCGTGTCATTACGATTTCTTAAGTCAAATTCCGTTTTGATTTTTTATTCACATAATGAATTTTTATTCACACCAAAAAATAGAAGATTTACTGTTATGCAATATTGTAATAATTGTATAAATATCATCACCACATTTGTGAATGTATATTAGACCCACCAGCTGGCGTGTATTAGACGTGTGAGGTCGTTTGTTTACTCTTGAACATCGGCAAAAATTTAACATTTCCGCCACTTTGAGCTCAGTTTCAAGCCATTTCCAGTGCTAACACCAATCAAAATTACCTCTATTTCTGTAATATGTCTTCCATTCTATCAAATGAGACCAAGAAATCACAAATACAACTATAAAAAACATACGAAAAAACACTGCAAAGTCGCTGTTTTAATCGAAAATCATGGTCTCAGTTTTTTTTCTCTCATTATACACAGTGTGCTGCAGGATTTGTTTTATGTGGTGCACACATACCACATAGATGTATTCTCTCATATCTAGGCCCAAATTTACCACTCACAGTTTATCAGAGTGAGCTGAGCTCATGACGTAGATCTACGGTTTGGACCCTGAACGTAAAGCCGTAGATCTACGGGATGGACCCTGAAAGGGTTAAGGGTTAAAGGTAAGTGTCATGTATTCTATTGTTAGTAGAGTACTACTAACTGTGCATGTCTTCTTCAGTTTGTGTGCTTTAAACTTAATATTTCATGTGGTAAAACTTCTTTTTTTTCATAGTACTTTTGGGTGTCTTGCATGGATTAATTTGATTAACATTATTTCTTATGGGGAAAATTAATTTGCTTACTGATAATTTTGGCATACGATGAGCTCTCAGGAATGGATTAATATCGTATACCGGGGGTCCACTGTATATGCTTCAATGTTTACATTGAAGCATATACGTACATATGTGAACAATACTGAGATAGAGGTAGGGAAGTTTTTATTGCGTTTATGGATCTACACTTGATCTACACATCCCCTACCCATTCTAAAGCTGCCATGTTCATCTGCAGTCCTGCTCTCTGTCTTCTAATTCTTTCAATAATAAACCTACCATACACTTTACCTGGTATACTCTGTAAATCCTTTTTCTCAACAAACTGGCCATATCCCACTGAGGCAGGGTGACCTAAAAAGAAAAACGAAAGTTTCTCCTTTTAAAATTAATGTATACAGGAGAAGGGTTTATTAGCCCCTTCCTCCCAGCATTTTAGTGGCCTCTTATAACACGTATGGCTTACAGAGGAGGAATTCTCTTCACTTACCCATGGATAACTCGGTAAATATATTCCCCTATAATTTTTAGTCTCTTGTGTCCCCCTTTTCCTTATATAAAGGAATTATATGTGCATTTTGCCAATCCCTAGGTACCTTCCTCTCTTTGAAACATTTATTCAACAAAAGTACCAACCACTCCAACACTGTATCATCCCCTGCTTTTAACGTTTCTTCCATGATCCCATCAGTTTCAGCTGTTTTATCCCCTTTCAATCTTCCTAATATCTCATGCCCCTTCCCCCACACTCGCATCCAGCTCTTCTTCACTCCTAAAATATGTTATACCTCCCTGGCAAATGCATGAAATTACTGCCTCCCTCTCTTCATCAACAATATTCCTGCCATCTTCCCAGTTCCTCTAACTCCCCATCTACTAACTTCCCTATTCTGTTTTTGTCAGATCCATTCAATCCCTAGGCTTTCTTAACCTATTAATCTCCAATTTTTTTTTCTTAATCTCAACAAAAATTGGTTGACAGCGCCTCACCCACTCAATCAATTAATTGCTCTCCTTTTGTGCTCCCTCACTACTTTCTCTGCCTCTTTTACTCTCTATATACTACTCCACTCTTATATCACTTCTGCTCTGTTAAAATCTCTCTTACACTACCTTTTTCTGTTTTATCACACCCTTTACCTCCTCATTCCACCAATCACTCCTCTTTCCTCCTGCACTCACCATCCTATAACCTCAAACTTCTTTCCCACAGTCTAACACTGCCTTTTAAAACTATCCTACCCCTCTTCAACTCCCACACTGCCTATACTCTCATTAGGCCACCTTTCTCCCAATAGTTGCTTATATCTCACCCTAACTTCCTCCTCCTGTAGTTTATAAACTTTCACCTCTCTTACTCCTTTTGCTCCACCTACCTCTTACTCTAACTGTAGCTACAACTGAATAATGATCCGATACGTCTGTTGCCCCTATATAAATATGCACATCCTGAAGTTGACCCATCAAGCTTATATCCACCAATACTTAATCTAACCTCTTTGTATACAAAGTTCAGTTAAAGCCCCTCCCCCCTCCTCCCCCATTTTCATTTTCCCCTGGCACCCCAGACTTACATACTACTCCCAACTTATTCATAATTGATTATTTTACACCATTCATGATTATTTCTTGTTTTTTTCAGCGATGTCTGAAATATATGGAATTGACGGGTTAGAAAGCCCAAATGAGCACCTTAATGCAGAGAGAATGGATTGAAAACAATTTGTGTTTACGGGAAAAGAAGGGAAAAACACCCCAGTCGGTCAAAACGTCAAAGGTCAAGTTGGGGAATGTTGCCCTCCTCGGCGGGCCCTCAGTAGTTTTTTTTTTTTTTTTTTTTTTAAAGCTTATTAACCCTTTGACTGTTTCGACGTATAAATACGTCTTACGACCCAATGTTTAATTATATATACCAATAATTCTACGGCTTCAAATCAAGTGGGAAAGCGGGTAGGCCCACATGTGGAGAAGGGGGTCTGTGTGGTCAGTTGCCCACAAAAAAAAAAAATCCTGCAGCACCATTGTTAAGAAAAAAAAAAAACCCTTGATCTTTTTTTTTGGAAAAAAACGCCGATTTTGGGGTGTATTTTTGTAAGTTTTTATCTTTGATTCGCTTTCCCCCAGGTGTTACGTATAAAATGAAACATATTACAGAAATAAGATATTTTCTTTACTTTTACGATAAAACGCCCTTGAAACTGAGCTCAAATAGCGGAAATGTTCGATTTTACCAATGTTAAAGAGTCATAAATCACACCACACGTCCAAAAACCGTAAAAACTGGGGAGTCTAATATTTTTTCATAGTGCACTGATATTTTTTAATACCTTTTTTACAAAATGCAGTCGTCTGCATAACATAAATTTTGTATTTTTTGTATGAATAAAAAATAAAAAATAGAAAGAAATAATAATATAAGAGGCCTAGAGATGACAATGAACGAGCATATGTTTTTTTAGTGCCACAATGTCACCTTTTTTATTCTGGACCCTATTTTAAATTGGCATCTTTTTTTTTTTGCGTGAAAATTGGGCCCAAATTTCCAAATTTTTGACCACCTACTGGTGTCCAAATTAGTAAATTTGGGGTTTCTTGTCCAGCTGTGGGTAAAATGGGTTTTAAAAAATACTATGAGTTTTGGGCAACTGGAACAATGGGTTTTTGAAAAATGGGGTCAAAAACGGCAAAAAAGCCCATACGCATATGTCGCCGAACCGCTACTTCCGGGAGCATAATTCTACGAGTTTTCGACCAAATTTCGAACTTTTGGTGTCATTACCATCGGGAAAAGATTCTCTATCATTTCATAAGAAAAAATAATTTTTTTTTTTTTTTCAAAAATTGAGCGACATAGAATGACAGTTTCAGAGAGGGGCCTGAAACAGTCAAAGGGTTAAACTGAAGGGTTTCTTTTACTCAGTTATATAGTAGGAAGGGGCTTTCGTATTGTCTGGGCAATAAGTGGGAATCTTTCCTATTGTTTTTGCTGCTCAATCCATATTTTCACAAACTTTTCTGTATTTACTTATATTGACCATTTTTTGTGGATTACTCATTACACAAGCCTTTATCTTCTTTTCATTGCCTTTAATTGTATAAATTGTAGATTCTCTTAGACAAAGAACTGCCTCCATCACATGAACACCATCTTGAGGTTTACCTAATGCCATCATTCTCAATAAACTCTCATAGTTTTGCATATTCTTCTTTGCCTCTCAGGTATCACTAATATTACTCTTGGATGACATAGTTGATAACCAGAGATGAGATGAGGCAATGACAGCATCCAAAATTGTTTTGATAAATAGACTGATTGAGGTAGACAACTGGCAGTGTTTGTGGACTCACCCATTAGCTATCTGATCCATGGAGGAGAAATATCCTGTGTGAACATCTGGACTGTGTGGAAATATATATACATGTATTATTGTTTATACCTATGGCACATCCTATGAGTCACTCTTCTTGCAGAATTTGGACTCTGGTACAGTTTACTAATAGCACCTTATTGAAATCATACATTTTGGACGTGATGCAAATAGTATTCTGTCATACAAAATACAGTGGAACCTCTACTTGCGAGCGTGTTCACGTGCGAGTTTTTCCAAATACGAGCAGTCAATGGGTCAATTTTTTACTTCCATACGCGAGCAAACTTTCCACAAGCAAGCAGACCTCAAGGCAGGTTCCTTGACACTGGTGAGGGGCTCTTGCTCTTGATCTCAGGAATTGTATCTCATTTGTTTGTTGGACTATCTTATTGAAACTTGGGCAATGTATGATGGAAAGATGCTTCTTAACGTACACCAAAAATGAAAGAAATTTAGCATTAATAATGGAGTTCACTTCTCAACAATTAGCCACCCCTTAGCTCAACCTAGGAGAAATGGTTCATTGCTTGGCTGTTTCAGAGTAAACAAATGACTTTGTAGATGAATGGTTCAGAGAACCAACATGTTGATAAATTAGACACATGTGCAACTCTTGGGTATCTTTATTGAAGAAACGTTTCGCCACACAGTGGCTTCATCAGTCCATACAAAGGAGAATCTTGAAGAACAGGAGGAGAATGAGGTAATCAGTCCCTCAACCTTGAGTCGATGTGGTCAGTCTGACCACAGTTCCTGATCAGCCGGGCTGTGGCTCGTACGTTGGTTTGCGTGCAGCCAGCAGCAACAGCCTGGTTGATCAGGCTCTGATCCACCAGGAGGCCTGGTCACAGACCGGGCCGCGGGGGCGTTGACCCCCGGAACTCTCTCCAGCTAAACTCCAGGTAAACATCGACTCAAGGTTGAGGGACTGATTACCTCATTCTCCTCCTGTTCTTCAAGATTCTCCTTTGTATGGACTGATGAAGCCACTGTGTGGCGAAACGTTTCTTCAATAAAGATACCCAAGAGTTCCACATGTGTCTAATTTAACCCTTTGACTGTTTCCGACGTATAAATACGTCTTACGAGCCAATGTTTCTGACGTATTTATACGCACAAATTCTAGCGGCTTCAAATCGCGCGCCAAAGGCCTGGTAGGCCTACACGGGAGAGAATGGGTCTCAGTGGTCGGTGTGCACCCTGTGAAAAAAATCTGGGACCTAGCGGTGCATTGTGGGAACGCCATGTTGTCAGTCCATTTTCACCATGCCTCTCGGTAAGAAGTTCCTCACTCCTCGGCGGATTGGAGGTCTTTTGTTCCCAAGTGATAGCTCTAACAGCGATGAAAATGTCAGTGACAGTGAATTCAAGGTTTTCAAGTGAGTGTTACCGAAAAAGTGCCCAGGATAACGTAAATAGTGACGAAAACCCCAGATGACCCACAACCTTCGACCTCTGGTGCTGTGCCGGCTTGTTCACATTCACCTTCGCCTGTACCAGGACGAAAGAGGAAACTATTTGGTCGTGTACAACACCCTGACGATAGCAGTGATAGTGATAGTGATTTCAAGGTCATTGAAAGCAGTTCTAGTGACAGTGAGAGTGAATATTCCCCAGTGAAGCGCCAGTATGTACGACGTAGCATGCGGTCTGGTAGTGTTTCATATGTTGTTCCAAGGGGAAGGAGAAACTCTGGAGCACATCCCGTGGCCCAACACCACGACCTGATAGTGAAGATGACGATATTGTAACGATGGGTATGAATGGTGACAGTGAGGAGGAGCATGGTGGGATAGTGAGAGGTGGCACGGCCCATGTGGCACCATCACCGGGCCACGCTACTAGCCACGCGGCTGACTCAGCAGAACAACCAGCCTCACCCTACCCCACACTGCCACAACCTGCACCAACCACAACCTGCACAGCCACAACCACAGCCACAACCACGGTACAAATATCAGACCCCACCAGCAGACCGCATCTGGGATTGGCAGGACGGTGACGAGTTTGTTCCCAGTCCCCATGACTTTGATGAAACACAAAGTGGAATAAAGCCATCTTGTCCACTTGGAACAATGCCAGTGAACTGGACTGCTTTGAGTTATTCTTCGATGACCCCTGATGGACATCATTGTCAGGGAAACCAACACATACTGTGAATACACCATGGCAAATACAATTCTCTCACCAAAATCACAACTACACAAGTGGAAGGAGACAACTGTGGCAGAGATGTACCTGTTTTTTGCCACAATAATGCTTATGCCACATGTGTATAAGCACACTGTCACCACATACTAGACAACAGATCGCCTGATTTCAACTCCAGGTTTTAGTGACATTATAGGTGTCAATCGTTTCCTGATACTGTTGCGTATGTTACACTTTTCAGACAAAACCAGGCCTGACAGAAGCGACAGGTTATATAAGATAAGAAATGTGTTTATGTACCTGAAACAAAAGTGCTGCATGTATTTTTATATCCCTTCAGGAAGCTTGTTATTGATGAGTCCTTGATTTTATTCAAAGGAAGACTCTCATTCAAGCAATATATACCAAGCAAGAGGAAACGCTTTGGTATAAAGCTATTTGTACTGTGTGATTGCAGAAGTGGTCTTGTTTTAGATATTATTGTGTACACTGGCAGTAATACTTTGAGAGATACCATGAAGTTATTGGGTATCTCTGGTGATGTGGTTCGAACAATGATGGAACCATATCTGGTAAGGGGCATATGTTATTTACTGATAACTGGTACACAAGCCCCTTACTCAGTGATTTCTTGCGAGTGAACTTGACAGACGTGTGTGGCACAGTGCGTGGTAATCGCAAACATATGCCAAGGTTCGACGCTGGCACTCGCAGAGGTGAGGTGCAAGCCTTTGCTGCCAATGACATCATGGCATTTCGGTGGCATGACAAACGTGATGTCACATTGTTGACATCAGTTCACACAAACGAAATGGTACCCAGTGGCAGGGACAACAGAGAGACCAATGAACCCATTCTAAAGCCTGCAGCTGTCATGGACTACAACCTCAATATGCGCTTAGTGGACAAATGTGACATGCAGATTGGGTTTGCAGACTGTGTACGCAAGAGTTATAAGTGGTATATCAAACTTTTTTTCCATCTTGTTGATATCTCTATGCTAAATGCTTATAACATATACAAGTTGAAGACCAACAAAACACCAAAATATGGTGAATTTTGCCTGTCAGTAATCAGACAAATAATTGCAAAGTACAAAGGAGCAACTCCTGCAATAGACCAGCGCCCACAGACGTCATCTCGTATGA